ATGTGAATAGGGAAAAACATGCTTAGATGGTTTTATTACTGTTTATTATATTTTTCACTGCACTTAGAACTGGTTTCTCCTGTCAAAAGCCATGTGCTTAAATGGTATATGCAGTGGTACCTTGGCTCACGAATGCCTCACTTCACAACCAAATCAGGTTGTGAACAAAAATTTCATAAAAATTTTGACACAGGTAGCGAACTCTGCATTGGGTGGTGACTGTGATCACAGCCATTCCCTCCCCTTGAGTGGGAAGATGGCCATGATCGTGCTGGGGGTGGGGGGAGGGATAGCCGAGATCATGCCTGTCTTTTCTGCAGGAGCACAACCATGATCTTGGCCATCTCGCTCCCCTAGCACGATTGCGCCCGTCTCCCCCATCACAGCATGCCTGGGTTTGCACCCGTCTCCCCCCCCCCAGCACGCCGGGATGACGGGCGCGTGCAGGGATGATGGGAGCAATCACGGTCGTGCCGGGGGGGGGGGGCAGGGAGATGGCTGTGCTCCTGCTCAGGGGTGGGGGAAGATGGCCATGATCTTTGTTGTTCTTTGTCACTTTGCTTCACATTTTTCTGATTAAAAAAATAGTTACAGCATGGATTAACCTTATTTACATTGAACCTTATGGGGAAATTTAACTTGGCTCACGACCAATTTGGGTCATGACCAGAGTCCTGGAATGGATTAAGTTCGTGAGCCAAGGTACCACTGTATATAAATTGAATATAATTCTGAACTGAACAAACATGCAATTGAAAAACCTGACATTCGAGGAAGAATGTAAACAATGCATTAATTCAGGATGGAGAACTTATGGTCTACCAGCCTAATCTGGCATGCTGAGCTTTTGCATCCAGCTCATGGCCCTTTCCATACCCTGCTGTTATCTTGAAGCTGCAGTAACACAGGTAATCCTGTGATTCTTCTTACCACACCTCCTGTTTTCTCAGTATGGAGGGTTGTCCACATGCCAATTGGACTACTGCTTTGGTAGTCCACCAACCTCTTCTTCATTGGGGGGAAAGCACAGCAAAATAAAATTGTCCCAGTCAAGACACAGGACAGAGGTTTTGAGTAGCCTAACTCTACTCAAAACTATACTTCTTCCTTTATGCACCTGCATTCATAATTATGGTTAGGTAGAGTAAAGGAAGGGATCAGATACTGCAGGGGCCCCACTACAGCATACTTTATGCAGATAGATGGCTTGTGGCCCTTAATGTAAGGGAGAGGAGCAGCTTTCTCCATAATGGAACACTGTTTACAAGTGCGGCATTTTGCTCCTACCCCCAGAATAATACATGGAAATCCTTCACTTACACAGAAGAAAGTTTGAAGAATTGGAGCTGTGGTGAATCTGCACTATGTCTTTTATCATCTCAGCATCTGATGTAGGAATCAGGAGTCTTCCCTTTAACTGTTCTTTAATTTACCAATCGCTCCCATTGAATTACAGGAGAAAATAAAAGACTGTAATAAAGGAGATGGCTAAAAAAGGAGAAAATTGCTTTCTACTGACAAAATGTAAAGGAATAATAAAGAAGAAACTTAACCCCAGTTGCTGTTACCGGTGGTTGTTTCTTGCTGCAGGGCAAATAAGTCATCAAAAGGCCATGGGCATCCCATGTGACCCTTCAGCTAGAAATCCACTAGGCAGGTAGAAAAGTCAGAGCCATGTCCATTATCTTCTATAAGCAAGGCAAGGGGGCAAATTCATCACTGTTTGCTATTCTTTCAACTGAACACGTGAACTTACTCTTAGATGCATTTGTTGTGGCTAAAAGTTTTGTTGTATAGCAATATACAAAAAGAAGGCAGGGAGAAATACTAATTATTTCTTGGTTGATGCAAGGGTACTCTTCTGAGAGTACTGGAGTGTATTATTTCAACCAAAATCAACTCAGATGGCTCAAGGAAATTAGTCATACCACAACTGTCTGCGAAAGGAAACATACACCCACACACCAGTAAACACAAACCACTCTGATTTGAAGGCAAATTACTTCCCATCCCCAGTTGCCCAAATAAACACAAGGACTGAAGAGTACATTTCATTCCTGAAATTAGCATAAGAAAAATGTTTGTGAAATATATTGGAAACCCCACACTTCAATTTTGCTTATTCATATATTTGGATGGTTTGAATCATTTGTTTTTCTCATGTAGGCTCATCTCAGTGTTGACCTCTGGGAAAAGCATATCTATTTATATGAAATTATCTGAAACATTATTTATCTTACCAGTTGTTAACTCTTCATGTGGTCACTGAAATAGCATTGTTTAACAGAACTCTGATGTACCAAGCTTAGCAAGCTATTCTATCTCTATGCAATGAAAGCTTCAACTTTTAATTTCTATACACCATCAAGCTCTTGTTAAACATACTGATGCAAGCCAGACCAGTTTTCCTCTCTTCAGTTGGCAACTACAGATATCCAAATGTTTTTGATGCCCCCGAGAGCATTCAGATGAGATCACACAAAAGCCTGGTTCACACATAATCAAAACTAAGAGACCCACTTGGCAGGATCATAGCCTCATTAACAAAACCTGGTTAACCTGATGGCACATGAAGGCTGTTGTATGCACCCGTACATAATTGTCTTCACTGGCACAGTTTGCTATGTCATCTGAACCAGGGTGTCTTCTTTGAGGTGGCAGAATCCCTCAAATAACCTAAAGGCTACAGCAGAGTTATTTGAAGGTTTCCCTGCCCTCTCCAACCAGCAATGCCACCCAGATTTGGATGACATAAGCTGTGCCCAGGGGATGATGATGGAAATCATGCCCATCATGTGTCAAGATTTAAATAGGCCACAGTAACTTATTTAGATTGTGTAAACCAGATCAATTAATCTTTCTGGATAGACACAAATAGGATTGTACTGTCAATTAGGTTCTAAATAAAGATAGTTGCAGGTATTTGTTTAGATGGCATGACAATTGTGCCAACAAGGGTAATTAGGAAAATCCAGCTGGCATGCACAGTAGGGGAAATGAGCCACTGTGCCCTATTTCCCCTTAATAGTTCAAATTGGCCTAGAGTATGATTTGAAACAGGAATTGGTATTTTATGTGAGTTTTGCACTTGGTTTAACTATGGGTTGCTAACCACAGACAACCCAAGAAGAGAACCTAAGTTCTATTGCTGATTGTGAACTCTGGGTTACAAAGTTTACAATCAGTCATAACACATGATTTGCACATAACAACCCATGATTCCACAACTTGCAATTCAACAACAATCCATGCTCTTGATTGGCATTACATGCAGACCAGGATGTCTACACAGAATTTAGAGTATCTTGGAAATGCTTTATTAACTCATGTGATGATACATTGCTTTGCATTGTTCAGGTTTCTCAGTTCTTTAAGACTATCAAGGCATTCCTTTTTTGTTTGTTTGTTTTTAACTGAGGACCACAAGGGGATGGTACCTTATTTTTGCTGTTATGTGTAGTACCTCACTGAGCTGCAAAAATAAGTACTTTTGATGAAGTTGTGGCTTTAATTCAACCTTTTTTGGAACTATCTAAGGAAGAATTTTCCAAAATGTTTCTAAGTTCCATTACTTAGCTATTCTTATAATTAAGAATACATATTCTAAATTGATACTAATATTGTTAACTTCAAATCTGCTTTCTCCTGCAGCTGTAAGTAGAACACAGTGGACCATCATCATCGTCTGGAACCTGCTGCTTGGCTGGTACAAGCATTCTCAGGTTGGAAAGCAGTCATCAGTTAAATGCATAGCCACTCACAAAACCAGTCATTTAATGATAATATCAGAAGTGACATAGCTCTACAAAAACTATGAGCAGAACTATGTACACAAACTATAATCTGCAGGTACAACAGATCCTTTTGTATTGGCTGAGCCCTGAGTATTCAAAAGTATGCTTTTCATCACTCAGTGGCATTAGGCATTATATAACACTTGACTGTCTGTTAGCCCTTAGCTAATTTTGCCTATCAAAGTCAAAGAGGTATTCTGCATAAATGCCTGATACTCTTTTAAAATCAAATAAGTTAAAACTGAATTCTTTGAGTGTACATAATCAGATGTTTCCATTTGAACATTATTTATTTGAATGATCAAGGGCTTTATTTTTCATTTACCCTTCTAAACTTCAGAGGCCTTAATCAAAGACTTGTCATTGACCAATTTCTTCTCCCTATTGAACATGTTTAACTGTATCAGTGCAAGCTTGTCAGGATAAATGGAAAGGAACTCATCAGAATTTGACTGATAAGAGGAACAATATGCAATGGTTACAGCTAACAGGATTAGAGACAGAGAACTCTGAGTAGGATATTCCCATGATGGATGAAAAAGGCCTGCTATATGACAACCCTGTTCAGAGAGAACCCATCAATTAAATAACTATTAATGAAAATCTTCCCTACACTGTCACACTACAAGGAGCTTACCAGGAATATTTGATACATGGAAGCAGAAGCCCCTTGAAACCATTTGGGAAAATGGACCACACATTATCCAGTACTAAGTTTCATTCCTGATCCTACATCTTGAATACATAATGAATGTGATGATTGGCTTTTGCAGGGCACTGCAGGACAGATGACAGCATGCTTTCAATTAACCTTTCATCAACTGCTTTTGAGCACCATCTTAGGCACTGCTGTGTAGCAGTAGCAAAGTAGGCAAATAAAAGCCTTCATAACCCTTTTTAACTCTCACCTTTCCTCACTTTCAAATGGATTCCAACAAATGTGTGAATCTGTGCCTTTGGCAAAGCCAGTGTGGTTTAGTTGACAGGATGCTGGACCAAAGAGATCAGGGCTCTCAAATCTCTGCTCAGTCTTGAACCTACTAGATACTTTGGTCAGATATCTGTCGTTATTCCACAAAGTTACTCTGACAATAAACAATATAAAGACTGGAAAGCAATCTGCATGTTAAAAGCACAATATAAACAATGATTAGTAACAACCACCTCCAGGACAATCTTAAAATTGCAGTAATTGCACTTACATACTGCATTTTTATTTGATGTTGCTTGTCCAACAAGGATTTCTCCTCAGAATAAATTCTATGTAAGGAAGAGTATATATTGTCACATACTTCATCAACATATAGTTAATATGCACTGAGGAACAGTGGCTACTTGTGCCTTCACAATATGTACAGATGCAGTGAAATCATGTGCCTACAATAACTAGATACTTCACGAAAGAATTAATATCTGTGCAGAAAATTCATAGCATGAAGCAACTCTTTGCTGGATCATGGAGTTTGTAGCCGAGTTTGTCAGTTACTAGGCTAAGTGGTCAAATTGTGTATAATAACTTTAAGTACACTAATGTCTGCCTTTTAAAGACTAACATGAATCAATGTGCATGGTAATAAGAGTAACCAAGGCAGCTGTTTATAATATTTAACACTGCAGCTGAAATCAAATGGAATGAGTCAATTTAGTTTGTGCTCCATTCTTTAGAGATTGCATTTTGCTAGGACCTGGATTCACCAGGGTAAAGTCCCTCCTCTAAAGACCCCCACCAACGTGCCCAGCCTGCACTAACCGTGAGGGGTTGTTCTGGAGCATGTTGACATACAACCCAATGAGAACATGTTCATCAGCCAGCCTGTCTGCAACATCGAGGCTATACTGTAACCTGAAACAGGGTTGGGGGGAAAAGGGTGTAGTCCAGACAGACAAAGAGAAATAAACAGAGAAAGCAGGAGCAAGTAAGAGTGTGAAGTGGGAATTTATCAAATGAGCAGTCAAATGTTTTTCAAAAAACAAGTGCTGAAATTGTTATCAATTCCAACCAATTGAGATAGAACCCAGAGTTATTAAGAAAGATGGTATGTAAGGCACGAGTATCAGGTTGGTGGAGTATACAAAGCACCTATAAAGATCTACAGAAGCAGAGATGCTCAAGAACCATGCAGGATCTGGCCTTGGATTAGTGCTATAAATGAGGCACAATTTAAAAGATGACAACTTTTGGAATTTGCTAGTATTAGCTGAAATCCTTAGCACGCTTAAGTAGAAGTAATTCAACTGATGTCAGTTGCATGTCTTAGAGCTGATTTACACATATAAAAATCAAGTTATATAATTCCTAGGAACAAATAATTTCAAGTAGCATGTAGAGAACTGAATATCAGAAAGTCTGCTGCTGTAAAATATTATTTCCACATAGCAATCTAGTGCATCAGGTAAAATGGCTGAGAAGATTTTGATATGATTACTTTCAAGTGCAGAGTGAAATAATGCAGTTCTATTAACTGTGCACCACACAAATGACATACATATATAGACTGACTCTTAAGACTGAAGTGTAAAGTTTAGTTATGCATTCACAAGTTTGCATAACATGTACGATAACCTGTATTTAAGATGTCATATAAAGTATTTGATATGTCTTTGTGATTAATCCAACTGGTAAATTATGGAGAAATTTTAAAAGCTCCACTTAATACCTTTTGTAGGATGCACTGTATACTGTAAGAAGGCATTTGCTTTAGTTGTGTTAGTGCAGGGTGTTGATGTGCCTTTTTAAACTTACCCTTTGCCTTTCAAAAAAGCTGGAGCAGCCCTAGCCAGCAATTTGTTCTGCTCTACTTCATTATTCTTGTAAGGAGAGCTAGTTAATGAGACAGGACAACTAAGAAGACAGTAAACAGTGATGGCTATAATCCACTGAAATTTATTTATTAACTCTGAAACATAGGGTAAGTAATTTTCAATGAAATGCCTATCCCTGTCTGTTCAGAAATACAGTAAGTCTAGTTTAGTTCATTCAGACTTACTTCCAGGTTAGTCTGTACAGGATTTCCGCATCAAAGAACAGATAATTCTAAAATCTAAATCAGTATAAAAGTTAAAATAAACACTTTCCCCCCAACGTAGTATGTTGATTTTCTACAAGTTTATAAAACTTTTCTAAGTTAAAAAATAAACAAAAATAATACCAGCTCTTTAGGAGTCCAATACACAAAGACCAATCAAAATGAATGCTGAACACCTATTCAATTTCTAAAATTGCAAGTTGGGCATTGTATCGTATGAGATTTAATGCTGCCAACTCTTTTGAAACATTTTCTAGGGAAGTATTTCTGGGGCAGTGGAAAAGGATTATGTCAAGAAATGATTCTTCTCTTTGCCACTATAGAAAGAGGAGAAAGAATATACCCCAAGTAAATGTCTATATATAACTGAACAAGCTTTGACTTAAGATCACTAATTTAGAAATATTCTTGTATATTTCTCATTATGATTATTCTCCTCTACATTTTTAGTTTTAGTTTCATGTTTAAATAGACAAATAACCACAATAACTTGCATTTCTTGATGCAGTTCTGAAAAAAAGAAATGTAATTCAAAGTGGCTTTTTTACTCTTTCAAACTGAAACATGACATAAAAACTTTCATCCTTAGTCTAGTTGTTAATTTCTTTGCCATCTTTTTATGTCAGTAAGTGAAACATGCATATTACAACTAAAGGAATCGTGGCTGTGTACTATGCAAGATGATAGATATCTCCTTTTACAGCATACCATAAGAAGTGATTGAGTTGCTGTGGTGTAATCAAGACAAAAATTATGTGTAGTCTAATAGATTAAGTATGTATAATCTAATAGCCTAATCTAAAGTCCTACTATTCCTAAATACTAGGATTGAAGTCTACGTAATCACATGGATAGATCTGAGGCTAATGTTATACCACACTAATTTGGAAGCAGGTTTCCATGAAATCAGTGAAATCTTTCTTGTTAAATGGAGACGATGCAAAGTTTCATGGGGCCACAATGTCCAAATGCAGCTTAATGTGTACAGGGGATTTCATGTTCTTTTTATGATAGGCATGTCATTATGTATACAAAAGGGAATTGCTATGTGCACACAATAGCAATTTCTAACTCTCAGAAGAAAACACAGAGCCCTAGCTATGGGATGGTATAAAAATGAAATAAGTCAATAAAATAAACATCACTTCATTTGCACATTGGTGACTCCATATGAACATCTAGTCCACAGAAGATGGTGCACATGTTGAGGAACAAGGAGTTAATCATCTGGCATATTAATTAAGCAACCAGGAGTTCAAGCTACAAAATAAATGCTACTCTTTTAAGTCCATTGCTTTTTTGTGTGCTGCCAATTAACTACAGCTCCAATAGACTGATCTCCTGTAATGGAATCAACATGATTAAGTCATAGAAATGGTCAGAATTACATGGTGTTACTACAGAAAACTTTTGTCAGACCAGGAATTTTCATCTGAATGCTTGCAGGCTTTTATTTTAGCATGTGAAGATACTTGACAGTCTCCATTTCTACCTACGAGACTACTAGTATCTCATGGGTTTTATGGGCTTTTACAGTGATTGGCCTGACCACAGATGCATAGATCTCTCATGCTCATGTGTCTCCTTAAATCACTGTAGAACACACATGTAGGAGTCCCTGAACAAGCAAGAAGCCTCCAAATCTACAAGAACAGACTCTCCTGGGTTCATTGCAGTGTGGTTCTGCTGTAGCAAGAACCACTAACAAATTCTGCATATAATAGAATTTAGAAGTATTTCTACTGACTGGGATATGCTAAGTACACTAGAACAGATTTTAACATTTATGGTTTCTCTGTTAGATTCTGAATGGTAAAAATGTGTGTGGCATATGTTGAGATTCATTTCCTTCTAGGTGAAATAAGAAAAGTGCAAATAGAAACATGATGCAATTTATACCAAAACCCAAAATGGGGCAGTGCCTTATAAAGAGGAAAAAGCAGCATTCAGTTCTTAAGAAGGGGGAAAATCAGCAGCTACTGTAAGATTCTGAAATTGACAGCTATATTGCTTTGTTACAAATATTTGTGCTACTTTTGCATAGCATAAATATATATCATATATATCATGATGTTAGTGGAAGCAAATCACTAAGCAATGAACGAGAAATATAGTTTCCATCTAGTCTTAATTAAGCAAAGCGTAATATAAAGTTGCCAACAAGAACAAAGTAAGTGATCTACTGTCTCCTGTCCATGGTCCTGAAGTAGCCATCAGACCATTCTTCTGGAATAATTTAGCATTATGTTGAAAATTATGCTCACAGATACACATATAAATATTATTTTTCTTATTCATTTAATGAATGATTTAAAGGATTAATTAAGCTCATAAGATATTTGGAATCTAATCAAAATGGCATTAGCTAATTCATAGAGTACAAGTCTATCAATGGCTATTAGAACACTGTCTAAATGTAACTTACAAATTTATATTTATTTATTTATTTATTTATTAAAACATTTTTATGCCGCCCCATTCGCCGAAGCCTCGGGGCGTCTATAGTAACCATGCTACCCTGCAACAGGTGCTGGAGCTGAATGGCATTGCCTTCTTGCCCTGTGTATGGCCTTCCTGGAAGCACTGGTTGGTCACAGAGGAAAACAAGAGGTAAGCTTGGCCACAGGACACTTTTTGTGTTCTTTTATGCCATGAGTGTTAGGAGTGTTACATCAGAAGAGAAAGATAATCATCCCAAGGGTTGAATTCCACTTTGGAGAAGTTATAAGGACAACATTCCAGTGGTAGGTGGTACCAAAGACATAAAGAACAGAACTAAAAATACCTGCCCCTTCAGCTTTCAGCTGAAAGCTATTACTGCTGGGTACTCTGCTGTCCTTTGGAATAGGTAAAAACTGAGAAACCACCAAATAACCAGGATAAGGGTACACGGTCCTCTTGGGGACTCTGCAACTCAGAGAACTGCAAACTCAGGAGAGTGGATAGGGACCCAAGGCCTGAGCTTCTGCATCCCTGTTTTTGTGCTGGAACAAATGCAATCTTTGATCCCCCACAGTTATTTGGATACTGTCCATTATATACTAACAGAAGTGAAGGAAGACTATTCTTTCATACCTAGTATTATCAAGCTGATGAGAAAATTATCATAGAATCATAGAAGAGTTGAGTTGGAAGGGGCCATGAAGGCCATCGGGTCCAACCCCCTGCTGTTGCAGGACAATTTACACCATCCCACCCAGATGGCTGTCCAGTAACCTTTTGAATTTCTCTAGTGTGAGTGTGCCCACCACCTCTCTAGGCAGATGGTCTCACTGTCATATCGCTCTGACAGTGGGGAAGCTTTTCTTAATATCTAGCCTGAATCTGGGTTGTTGCAGCTTGAATTGGTTATTCTGTATCCTGCACTCTGGTATCAGTAAGGAGAGATCTTGACCTTCCTCTTTGTGACAGCCTTTGAAATACTCAAAGAGGAATATCATGTTCCCCCTCAGTCTTCTCATCTCAAGGCTAATCTTGCCCAGTTCTCTCAGTCTCTCCTCATAGGGCAGTATTTCCAAACCCTAAATCATTTTTGTTGTCCTCCTCTAATTTCTATTTTTTCTGCATCTTTCGTAAATCTTGGTGCCCAGATTTAATAGTGGACTCACTATTCCAGATGAGGTCTGACTAGTGAGGAGTATAGACAAACTAATTATGTTAAGTTACACCTTTAAAAATATAGTTAATGGACATGAATATGTAACAAAGCAAAAAAAGTGGGGGAAGGGAGACAAAAAAGAAAAAAACCCCCCAAAACTGTGCATAAAGGTCACAGTGGTTCTTCCAAAGTTGTTAAGACTGGACGATTAAAAAGGCAAACACATGGCCTTGACAGGATCCTGGTTTTTACACACACACATGCACACATATTTGGCATAGATTGTAGTTTTTGTTTCCAAAATATAAAACTACTATGATTTCTGCAGATCAAATGTTGGTCTACTAAAACATGGAGTGCGACTTTTTTTCTGAAACTGATCTAAAAGGAGTAATAACTGCCTGGATCATTTAGGGCTCTCTGCTTAACTTTGTTTCAAAACATATTATTGGTTAACTTCTTGGTTGCTTGTACCCAGAGAAAGAGAAGAGCAGGTTGCTTACCTGTAACTGATATTCTTCGAGTGGCCATCTGTGCAGTCACACATATGAGTTCTGTACCTGCGCAGTGCCTTTGGCTGGAAAGATTAACAGCTAACGGTTTTTGGCGGGAACTTCGCTCCCCCTCCCCCCCTAGCATTATATAAGGAGTGGCGTGTCCGCCATTTTCCAGTCTTTGAAAGACCGACGTTCACTCTCTTAATAAAGTTATTGTCATAATGGCAAAAAAGCCAAAAATTTCAGTGGTACGACAAATAACTAAAGAGATCCTAGCATCGAAGAGAAGGAAGTCGGACCACCCATGACACCAAGCGGGGTCAGAGGGTGGGTTGTGTGACTGCACAGATGGCCACTCGAAGAACATCAGTTACAGGTAAGCAACTTGCTCTTCTTCATCGTGGCCTCTGTGCATTACACATAAGGGTAGAATAACAAACTTACCCAGACTTGGAGGAGGGAGGTGTCATCAGCGAAGAATAGAAGAGAGGACAGCCCTGCCAAACGAGCAGTCTTGTCTGGCGCGGACATCAAGTCTGTAGTGTCTGGCAAAGGTACATGGGGTAGCCCAAGTGGCGGCTCTGCAAACATCTTCCATCGGAACTCCTGATGCAAAAGCCAAAGAAGCAGCCACAGCCCTTGTAGAATGACCTCTTGGAGTAGATGGTAAGTCCAATTTAGCCAATTGGTAAGACAGCGCAATTGTTTGCACTATCCATTT